TTAGTGATATTTCAGCCAAATCAGTGTTGTACCAATGACATGTAACCAAGCCGACTGACGTTTTTACAGGAAATAGTGCTTTTTGCTTTCCCGTGCACTTCTGCATCTGCTCTCCTTTTACTCTCACTTGAGAGAGTAAAATTGTAGTTTGACAGTTTCACAGGTTTTAGTCCGAAGTTCAAAGGAACAGACTAATATTTTTCTCTGCACGAATCATTTCGTTTGTTGTTTCGTCTGTAACTACTAAACTACTGTAGTGTACTATCGCCAAAGTGAACTCAGCCGTTTTGTTTTCGTATTGTACCGAACTGTTGAAGTAATAAACGAAACGAAATAGTAACGTACAATATAGTTTATATTTTCGTACCCTGGTTATAACGGCATTAAATGTAGCTTTTTGCTGTAAATTTGTTGGGGAAAGAAAAAATTTGTAGTTAGCACTACATACCATTGCACAACAAATTTACAACAAAAAAGCAACAAATAATGCCGTTGTGACCTTTACAATATCTCAATTCTATCGACTAGGTGTACGGTGTCAAGTTAGCACTACATACCATATTTCAAAACAAATGAGAGCTACAAATTTTTTCTTTCCACAACAAATTTACAACAAAAACACGTATTTCAAACACTATTGGGTGATGAAATCGATGAAATTTGCATCAACATATTTGGTGAATTTCGCAACTTTTACAACAAATTACTTGAAAACTATAAGAGTGCACAGGGTTGGGTATTCACCTTTAGAATCAATATGGCGAAGCACTTCCAGGGTTAAAATGATGCTATTAAATATTCACATATTAAAATACAAATTTTAAAAGCTGTAAAAGAAAACTAACATTACGCTATATGTACTTTTAATGTATAAAAGTGGATTTGTAATACATATTTGTTATATATGTTTATATGCATATAGGTCATACGACCGTAATAAATAAATAAATAAATATTTTTATAAAAGGGGTCTCCAGAACCCCTAAAATCGGAGGTTCTTATATTAAAGTTTGCCCCATTCATTTGCGTGAAATTCATCCATAATAAAGTACGCAAAGTGTGTTTTTTTGCAAATAACTTTAGAGTTAATTAAAAAAGTTTATTTCCGTTTTCAAAGTATTATTGGCATAAAAACGCGTCGATTGGACACCCCTCACGACTTTTTTTGATGAGTTTTGGACAGGTTCCCCTAAAGTGAACTTTAACCACTTTTTAATAGACACACCCTGTAAAAGTTAGTGTCAATGGTTTGAATGGGTAGTTGGTTAACCGGAAAAAGCAGGGTTAAATAAGTATATAACTGCGGTTGAGTATACGTACACATTGCTGGCCTGTCCGCAATTTTCATCACTTTACGAAAATGGGGCTGCTCTGCCTTGATGTGCTACACTTTCTCGAAACAAGGGCGGCGCGACGGCGTCTGATGTTGTGCCAAAATTGGTCTGTGAAGCATCCGAAAACCTTTATTCGCTGTTTTTCTGGCTATTTATTTTACTTTTTCTCTAACCCAACTACATTTTACACTTTCACACCGCTATTCCTTTACGAGTAGTCTGACGTTTATGGTATCAAATTGCTCCCACGACTGCAGCTGCTGCTATTCGGTGTATTTTTCGTCTTCGCTGCCTTTTAGCGTTTTAAGTAACTTCAATTATGGTCAATATTTGACATCTTATCTACTTGTATTTTAGCATAATTTTAAAGTGATCCACTGAATTATTGCAAAGTAATTATAGTTTTCTACAATTTGAAAGCTTTGCCAACTACATACATACAACTAGCCAACGATCGAGAACTATTTGCGGCTAGGTTACGAAATTGGGATTATACGAACATTTTCGTACTATATTCGCACTTACAAATTATTTTTGAGTATATTCGTGTGAATCTAAATGTATATACAGTTGGTATAGTTTCTTTTTTTGGCGATATTTTCTATACACTATATTTTTATTAAAATAAACTAAACTTTGCTTCACTGAATTTCTCGCAAACGCGTACACGCGACACGTTCACCAACACTCAACGACGATTCGACAAAACTGTGAAAAATTCAGGACACCAGCACAGTGATGCATTTAAAAAGTATTAAAAATAGATAATTTAAGTCTGATCGAGATCGCACATAAAGTCAGGCCTTGCATATAACTTCGTACAAAAAAAACATATTTTATCAAATAAACAGTTGCGCATTTTTAAATAATTATCTTCTTTGTAAATATTAAGAGAAACTCTTGACTTTGTATATTGGCGGAAAAAAGTGCCCAAAACTAGCTGCTACTAACACGGCTGCACATAACCCTACCAAGTGCCAGCAACAATGGCCGCAAACTTCCTCATCAAGCTGGTGCTCCCGCTTACACTCGTTAGTTTCTCCTATTGAACTGATGCGGTTCTCTTTTCCCAGACTAGTGTCGTCTCAGGTACAATTCGGTTGTACTCATTTCGGCGACAAAAATCAAACAATCAACCTCAGCTAACTTCATTGAATGTACTACACTGAAGAAAATGCAAGCTAGATTTAAAGTTAATAATTATTTTCAAAATAGTGATAACGATTGGCATAAGTGCAGAATACGGCACGTTGAGCTGGAAAAAATAAACGAAGAAGTGGTCGTGGTTTGCCCTTTTTTTCTGATTTGAATGGTATATATTTTTTTTTTTGGGCAAACTTATATATACGGGGCTATGGAGAGGCAAATAGGGAATTTTCGAAAAACCGGCCCTATTCTGCACTTGTGCGCTTACGAGCTTAGGTGCAGAATACAACTAGTTAAGCTGGAAAAAACTAAAAAGTGGGCGCGGTTCGCCCCTTTTATCTGATTTTAATGGTATAAAATTTATTTGGGGTAAACCTATATTGCAGGTGCTATGGAGTGTCAAAGGGGGCATTTTCGAAAACCGGCCCTTTTCTGCACTTGTGCCTAACGATTCTGTGATTTTTATTAATCCACTCTTTATCAACATCTGATAATATGCATGCCTTACCACAATTCCATATGTGACCTCTACAAATTTCGCAACTTATCTATATAAATTTCTTTCTTTGTGCCTTTGACGGGTTAACCCAATGCACCCAGATATCAAGTGTTGCCAATTTTTGAATTTGAAAAAACACTAAATCCCAAGAAAAATCACCTTTTTCTCGAAAAAAGCACCACCTTTTTTTTATTGGAGGATTTAATGGACTTTGTGGGCATACAAAATTTTATTGTCGGTATGCCAATTCAAATTAATAAATAATTAACAAGCACCAAACTCAAAAATTTTCGCGTTTTGAATTAAGAAAATCACCAAATTTAGTGCGAAAAGCACGAAGTTGGCAACAATGCAGATATCAGCTGATATTTCTTTGTTTTTTTTTCCTTTTGCTTATCAATGTATACAATTCGCACAATTCGGATGCAGTCATAAAAATACCAACTATATTTTATTACGGAAATGTCCCGTAAAAGTCAAGACATTCCAATACGACCACGCTATGGCATACCAGAATTAACTAACGACGAGAACGATAGCGAAGTAGAAAGGACAAAGCAAAAGACTAGGAAGGCTTCATCTAGCACAATGGAAGCTTCATCGTACAGTGAAATTCCTTTCTTGGCACGATATCCTGATACGGATGCTAGCGCGGCTGATGTAATGGCGACAACCAGGACGGCAGAGAAAATAGAAGGGGAAAGTAGCATAGAAGAACATTATGTGGATGATGACGAAGACGAAGATAATTCCAATTCGAAAGATAGCTCGTACGAGGATAGTAAGACGCCAAGACGACCCAACTCATTACATTGTGATTCGAGTAAGGCTTCTAAATTTACTTCTTGATTTTTTTAAAAAGGTCTTTGTGCTAGCTTTCCCTTATGAGCTGGAAGGTGCTACTAGTGCAGATGGACAAATGCGACACTTTGTGGCTGATAATCTAGAGGAAAAAATACGAAATGGTAGTTATAAAAATTCGATTGTACTTTAACATTAACTTTGCATCTATTTCGTTTTATAGATCAACTGAGTTATGCTTCGCACAATAGCACGCCCTCTGGGGCGAATTTGAGCGGTGGTTTGCTAACACGACGCTTCTTGCAAACGCAGCGACCTCAAATTGATGCAAATGTCCTAAGTGACATTGAGATCGAGGCACAATACTTGGCTGCTTCAGTGGACAATTTAATGGAGAATCTATGCAATTTGCTGCATTCTGTGGGAATACCTTTTTAACTTACTCCTACGTTGATTTTTAATTGAAAATCACTTCTTTTAGATATCTTCAATAACAGCAGATAACGTAGAGGTGCATAAAAATGCAGTAAATAAACTAACCGATAGTATGGATGCTAATATCAAATGTATGTATACTATAATGGCAAAGACAGAGGAAATCACAAAGTCGATGAAGCCAACCGAGCAGTTAGGCCAACGAATGTAAGTCTAGAAGTTGTAAGTTACTATAAAAATTCTACTCTTACCGTATTTTTAGCCGGGAAATAAAGCGCCTAGTAGATATGCTCGATGGCACTATGTAGGATCAACCATTGGTGGTAAACGGTACTCTACCTAATCCCGCCTGCCCCCTCATTTAATCACAAAATCGTTCTAAATAGTATTAAAATCAAGCAAAATAATTTTGCTATTTATTATAATTATTGTTTTACGCCTAGAATAAAGGATGTTGCATGGACACTCAGTACTTTTCTACTTTTGCTTTTACTATGCGCACGCTATCTACAGGTCTATCATTTTTATCTGTCTCAGCCAGGCCAATGCGCTTCACCACCTGCATTCCCGAATAAACCCGTCCAAAAATCGTATGTTTTCCGTCCAACCACTGTGTGGGTGCTAGTGTTATGAAGAATTGCGAACCATTGGTGTCTGGACCAGAGTTAGCCATTGATAAAATGCCTGCGCCGGTATGTTTGAGATCTGGGTGAATTTCGTCGGGGAATTCACTGCCATAAATTGAAGTACCGCCACGACCTGTACCGGTTGGGTCTCCACCTTGAATCATGAAGTCGCGAATGATCCGATGGAAAACCACGTTGTTATAGTAACCACGGCGCGATAGCTCTGCGAAATTCCGACAAGTGTTGGGCGCATGTTTCCAATAAAGCTCGACAGTAATTTCGCCCATGCTGTACAAATGAACGAGATGTAGATAGTGTTAAAGAAGCTACAAAGCAAGTATACTTACGTCGTTTCAAGCGTTACAAAGTGTGGCTGCCATGCCTTATCTGGTATTCCTGAAGCAGATGCAGCAGCATTACTTGTGGTGGCTATCATTTTGTTTACTTTGAAATTAGCTTTAAAATAAAGCTCCTCTAAATTGTTGCAAAAGAAGATGAAATCAAAACAAATAGCTGTCACTTAATTGACAGGTGTCGCTGTGTAGGACGGTGATGCCAGCGCGAAAATAAGAAAAAATTTTACAAAATCGTAAATTTAAATGAAAGGGAGATCCCATGAGTAGAAAAATTGTGTAAACTATTTAAATAGAAATAAATAATATTATAACTAATAATGAAATAATGAATAATCAACAGATTTTCCAACATTTCCCATTTCTACGGCTCCAATGCAACTTCAGATATAGATGTCGCCAATCAAGTGAAAAAACCTTAACCGATTCCCGATTCGAATGTCTTGAAAAGGCGTTTATCACCCTGTACATTCCAGAAAAATTCCAGCAAGTTTGACGTTTTTGTTTTGTTTTGCTTTCTTGTTTGTTCTTGTTTCTCTTTTCTCTTGTCATTTTGTTTCTTGTTCATGCAATTTTATTTCATTCAACAATTCGTGTGCGTAAAGTTAAGTTTATTTTGCGGAAAAACAACATCGGTGTTTCGGAGTAAATTAAAAATCGGGGAAAATGTAGGAATTAAGCAAAACAGTTGAAAAAAGCGAATAATTGTCCCCGCATATTATCGTACAAAATTTGTTGTCCCGGGCAAACCAGTTTTCGTAATAAGTGCACCTTCTGCTAATCCTTTTTTCACCAGACAAAAGACAACGAAGCAAAGAAGAAAACGCATTCTACATCACATCTAATTGCACAAATGTCAGGTGTTGCAAAGTTTTATTGCAAATTCAATAAAAAGTTGTATTTACGCAATGAACTCTTCGGTTCGGTCTATCTCCTACCGCGACGCAGCTGCCTACAACTGTCTGGGCCCCATTACCAAATCAAAATGTGAAGCGCACCTTTACAGGTAGACAACACATTGAACCTTGCGAGATAACCCACGCTACTAGCGTAAATTTGTCAATTAATAATAAGTAAATTAAATTTTATAATATCGCTTGTAAAGTGCAGAGCACCGGCTTAGTGACGGCGCCGTTATGTGTGGGTGGTGAGGAAATGTCGGCAGCGAGAGTGCATCAGAAGAAAAGTGAAAGTTGCATTCATGAAATGGCAAATGCTGCATGTAAATATCCTATATGTGCTGCTATATACTTCTATATATTATATATTTTTTTTCTGTTTTAATGCACTATCATTTTTGAGTTCGTTACAAAAATGTTGAATACTTTCCAAACGAATAACGATATCAATCAATCAGATTGCAGCGTCGTATGTGCACATGTGCATAGCTATTCAAAATTTTATGGGACCAAAAGCGGCCAAGGTCAATGGAAAACGGGGGGAAATCATTACATTTGCTATCGTTAATATGAATGATTGCAAGCGCAAATACATACGAACAATACCAACTTGCATACATAGATATGTACATCTACTATATATTTATGTACATGTTAATTCAAATATAATCTATAAAATAAAAAGGATAAATATAATTTTGACACTAATATTTATAGAAAATATATTTGCATAGAAATGCATGTATCGGAACACAGTATTAAAATATTTATTAAAGTGTATGAATACAATATCAATTTTGAGTGGTAAGGCGTAACAGCGCTCCGCTAAAATACGAGTAGACAGGTATTTAGTAAAAAAATGTGAAAACAAAAGCAAAAAATCCCACCTCATTGGTGTTAAGACTTTGAGCCTCTTATTTTTTACAAAATCTTCGCACTGATGCTGAGAATTTAATGAAACAGCCACCAATTGCTAGGGCTAAAACAAGTGTTACTTAATGGTTACAAGTGTAGCAGTGGAACGTACAATGAAAATGTTAAAGGAGTCAGCAAAATAACCAAAAGCCTTACATCTGCTCCTGCACGCGCCTAAAAACAAAGGCAAATTGGCATTTAGTTCCATGATTCGCAAAGTGAGTACCCACTTAAATGTTGGTTTTTCAATTGAAATCTTTATTTATGTACATAGACATGAACATATGTATCAACTGGTCCTCAGAAAAAGGCCGTAACTGGTAAAAATAAATACGAATTTAAATGGACGTAGTCAATGTTAAAATACATAGTTACGTCCATTTAAACTCGAATTCCGAGACACATGTTTTTGAATTAATTTTCCGTTTCATTTTTTCTCTTAGGACCCGGCAGCCAATGTCATGATTCAATGATTATTGAATTATGAGCCACAATGTACATATGTACATATGTATGTGTTTCAGTTAAATATTATAGATAAAACTTTCATAATGCACAAAGAGATATTTTAGAAAATTCCAACAGTTTACCGACGAGTACCTGCCCAGAGAGACCCTTGTTATTCTGGCCCAATTTCGGTCAGGATATTGCACGCCCCTAACAGCTACTGGTCCGGAGTCGAGCCCGATATCCCCAACCACCCCTTCACATGGTTGCTTGTGCCTACCGTTGGTTGAGCTTGACGACCACGATTGATAGATAAACCGACCCTGGAAGTCCCGCCTGTATTAGTGTAACACCATAGAACTTCCGCAAAAGCAGTTCTAAACATACTGCTGGGGCGACAATCCTTGGCTGGGTGCTAGGTGGCTAACTATTTCACTACGGTCCTATAATACATAACAACGCCTGCACTATTTTCTGAACAAGCGCACCATACGGTATGTTTTTTCGAAAGTTCCCCCTGTGTCTACCCATAGCCCCGAAAATATAAGTTTGCACCAAAAAATTGGTGTACCATTAAAACCAGAAAAATAGGGCGGACCACGTCCACTTCTTTGTTTTTCTTTCTAGTTTAACGGCCCGTATTCTGTACTTATGCCCTTTTTTATAATCTTCGAAAAATGATTTCATATAACCAATCCTCTTTACTTCTCAAATTCCACTATAAACACGGTCACGGTTGCCACTTTGGTACAATTGTACAAAATATGGGCCTTTTTTGGTTGTTTGTGCTTTTTTGTTTGTTTTGGGCCATTTTGAAGCCACATTCGTTTGAATAAGCAGCACCCATAGTTTCAAACTTTATACAAAATTTAGGAAAGTTGTACAAATTTTCATCAGAATTTCAACTTTTTGATCTGAATCTTTAGAACATATTTGGGTATGCAGTTTTATACTATTATATTCAAATGAGATTCAAGTTTTAACCGCCTAAAAAATCGCGTTGATTTTTGAGAATTTTTGTTTGGAGGCTGCTTTTGCGGTGTTGTTTTTATGTAACATGTGCATTTTATAAAAACTGGCGTTGATTTTTTTAAATTTTATTGCTTACGGTCTCCCGCATTTATTTCATAAGAAATTCACGCTTGTACAGAAAAAAGTACACAAATCCGTAACAAAAAAAAAATATTCTCAAAAACTTACGCGATTTTTTTGGCGGTTGAAACCTGCACTTTATTAGACTAAAATTGTATGGGCTATAAAACTGCATACCCAAAAAGCTCTCAAGATTCAGATTACAAATTTAAATTTTGATGAATATTTGTTGAATTTGCCTAAATTTTGTATAAAGTTTGAAACATGCGGTTAAAGCATGGACGGTATTTTTATAGAAAAATAACAAAAAAAAGTGTTCGAAAAACATTACGAATATAAAAAATAAAAATCAACACGTGATCACTTGTTTGAGTCATTGTACATAATTTTGTTGGCCGGCAAAAAATGGTTTATTTTATTTAATTTTAAGCCTTTTTACTTGTATATTGTGATACAAGTGGCAACCGTGCACACGGTTTGCATTTGTAAATGCTTCCACGAAGTCATCAATCGCATGTGCGCTAAGTTGTCCGTTCAACGCAGTTTAGCTATTCAATAAAAAAAACCGTAAAAGCTCATATGTATGTATATTAGACTGGGTCGAAAAAAAAAGTTGCTAATGTCCGCCCCTAAATTTAAAGATTATGTTGAGAGGGTTCTGGAAAAATTTTTTTTTTTTTTTT